CCATACTAATTTATGTTCACATGCTGATGTACGGAAAAGATTTTAGCCAAAATTTTAAAGGTTCTAAAAAGGGTTAAAAATTTAATTTAATAATCAAAAAATCCTCTCAATAATAACAGATTTTGACAATGAAACTGTTTTTATTAAGTTTGGGTATTTATTCATCATTTATGCTTATTTTTAGCAAATCTTTGGAGGTAGCAATAAATGTGTATTATGTACAAATCTGAAATTTGTCTGAATTTTTGGGATGAAAGTTATTTACATTTGCAGTTAATATTTGATAAAAATAAGAGATCTTTCATACTGAAGATAAAGATACAGGAGCTGTATAATATTTACTTTAAAATATAGTCACTGAAATTTTTTGTGTGAAGATGAAGTTGATTCACACAATATGAAGAACGTTTGTCAGTAGTGTTGGTTTCCTTTCAAATATACTTAAAAAGTAAAGATAATCTTGAGGTTTCTATACCAGACTGTCATAGTTAACCTTGTTTTATGAAATATATGAAAAATTTGATAAACTGTGTGTGATTTCCTGAGATGTAGAATTATCATTAATATTCTCATTTTCTCAGAGTAACATTTTTTTTTTTTTACTATTACACTCTCTGGCTTTCTTCAGAAATGTCCCTCATATTTGATAACTTTCTGGGAATTTGAAACAAAACTCTTCATTACTTAAATTATTCAGACTATTGTCCTCATCTTTGTCGCCATATTTATCATGTTTCGGCTGTTGTATGTTCCAGCCTTCTTCCAGTGGTTGGAATATCAAACTGAACCCTTTATTTTAAACTCTTCATTCAACCCACTGAGATTAATTTCATTCAGTTGCCTGTCTTCAGGAATATCTGGTATTATTTGTTAGAATTTTTTGATGAGGAATTATTATCTATATTTTGTCAGATGAATGTCCTAATGTTTGTTGCTATTACTATGTTTTCACCATAGTGTCCTCCAGGACAAATGAATGAAATTATTTTACAAATGTCTGGAGCATTTAAGCATTAATTCTCAAGTTTGGTGACAAATTAATTGTGAATTCAATCCTGGAATGTGTAGTGAAAACTCAGGGGAAACAGGACAAGCAATAACTGAGCAGAATGAAAAAAAAGGACAAGCAATAACTGAGCAGAATGAAAAAAAAGGACAAGCAATAACTGAGCAGAATGAAAAAAAAGGACAAGCAATAACTGAGCAGAATGAAAAAAAAGGACAAGCAATAACTGAGCAGAATGAAAAAAAAGGACAAGCAATAACTGAGCAGAATGAAAAAAAAGGACAAGCAATAACTGAGCAGAATGAAAAAAAGGACAAGCAATAACTGAGCAGAATGAAAAAAGGACAAGCAATAACTGAGCAGAATGAAAAAAAAAAGGACAAGCAATAACTGAGCAGAATGAAAAAAAAGGACAAGCAATAACTGAGCAGAATGAAAAAAAAGGACAAGCAATAACTGAGCAGAATGAAAAAAAGGACAAGCAATAACTGAGCAGAATGAAAAGAAAGGACAAGCAATAACTGAGCAGAATGAAAAAAAAGGACAAGCAATAACTGAGCAGAATGAAAAAAAGGACAAGCAATAACTGAGCAGAATGAAAAAAAGGACAAGCAATAACTGAGCAGAATAAAAAAAAAAAGGACAAGAGACATATCCATAGAAATGGCCAGTGGAACAAGAACTGCTGCACATGAAAAAGTGTTCAGTTTGAAATTCCCTGAATGTTACCTAGATCAACAAAAACATGAAAGCTGGAGCACACAAAGGCTGAAATATTGTGAAAATAACAAAGACATGAGTCTGATTGCAAATAATGTAAATAAAAACAAATTAATCCCTGCTGCTGATACCATGTAGTCTTGTATAGCCTGTCGTATATTAGTGTGAAAATAATCATGACCTACGAAATCATGGCATAATTTGAATTTGACTATACAAATTTAAGAGTTGTTTTGAATTACAGTGGTGTGTTGTTTGGGGTTAAAATGAAGTTGATTTACCCACACCAAGAAGATTAATGAAGGATGATAATGACAAGGAAACATAGAAGTAATTTTAACAAACAAGATAAGGAATTTATTCATGAATTTACACACTTGAAGTAGTGTCAATAGATCATTTCAGGAAAATGAATCAGAATTCTTAAAGTCCATCATTTCAACATATTGTCTTGAAGAGGAAATGTTCATACAACAGATTAAATGATCCGACACAAAATAAATTTTTAAAAAAATGTTTAAAACAAAGGTAAGTAAATTTGTTGCTTACTGAAGGGATAGATGGTTCGCATACATTCAAAAGTAAATGAAGAGAGTTTGAAATACTTTCCTTTCTTAAATTGTTGAGAGAAAATTCTTTGAAGTGTCGCATGCTGGTTAGAGGCCAATAATTAGTGAGTACTTTAATGTTGGTCATGAGGAACTGAAACAAAATCTTTCACATGACTTCAGATATTGATTAATTTTTCTCATTTTATATCAAAAAGAATTTTGCATAGGCTTGCTACTTTCTTTCCTTCTCAGTTCACCAGTTAATTTCTGCAAAAGGCAAAAATCTCTCATGCTTGTGAATTTTTTACATTCTTCCTCAGTCAAATTTGAAGGGAGTGGATGAAGGGAGTTATTTTACACTCATTACAAAATGACAATACTGTCTGTAATTTTAACTTGAAATTGGATATTATTTGCCTCTTGATGAAATTTTCACTTTTGAGGGTAGAGGAGGTTATATGACAATTTCTGAAAAATGTTTATTCTTAGTGCCAAACTGTCAGACAGATTTCAATCTCATCTGCAATAATTTATATAAATAATTGGTACTGTTAAATAAATTGTAATATAATCATTTTTATTGAAGATTCAAATCATAGTCACTAAAAAAATGCCTCCTCTTTGGTTTGAATAAATCCTATCTCTCTAGCAACCAACTTCCTGTGTCATTTCCTGCCTATCCAGTCAAGGGAATTAACTTGATAACAGTTACATGATAGCTGATTTGTGGTTGAGATACGAGTTTACAGGTCTCCAGTCACAAAGACAAAAAACTTTAAGGTGAATCTGTATTCAAAAATTCTTTACTATGGAGTAATGGTTATCTGATTCATCTCACAGACCAATTCACTAATGTAGTGAGAATGATTCTCACTAGGTACTTCACACTTATTATTTTGTGTCAGACAAATCTAAACTTAGTAAATACCTACTTAAAATCTCTTGGAACATTTTTCTCCCTTTATTTCAATAGTTATTTCCAACTGTTTTATTTTCAGAATTTGCATAGAGTTAATAGCTTAACCTGAAGAGAGAGGAGTTTCACCAGGTCTAAATGTATGACCCTATTACATTGAAATACTGGTTTCTCACATGATCACCCAAGTTATGCAATAGTACCTAAATGGGTGACCACTTGGGGATACCCGGCAGAATAATGGATAACAGATCAAAATTGAAACTTGACTGATTTCCATTTCCAGTCAGGTTCATTCCGGATAAATACCCTTGAGGAACATGGGTATACCTCTTTTTCCTCTCCAGCTAAAGGTTATTTAGTAGAACTTGTAATAGTAAATTACTATTATCTCCAAAAAATTCTTATAATATAAAAAGTATTTTCTGGCTTGAAATAACCTGCAAAATGTTATCCATTTAAAAAAAACAAAAAAAAAATTCAAAAAAAAAAAATCAATCAATCCACTAGGTCAACTTGCCTAAAACATGCTACACATGAATGAATATATATGACTTTGTGAAAGGTCATCCAACAACCCCAGACAGCAACCAATCTTTTATCAGAGACCAAGAAATTGATACACAACTGACACATATAGAGGGAACTGATCAGGTGCTTAGTGATGCAGTGATCCTGTGATCAAGCCTTTCACGAAGGCAGGATTGGTGCTAGGTCTCGCCACCCCACTCCTGTACATGTTGATTCCAAAATTTCCAAGCATGAGGGTCACAAACCCTAAAAGGAAAATACTACCCTATTAATTGATTTAAAAGAACTGTTCAGAAAGAAAATTACAATTTTAAAAAAAAAAAAAAGTGCTACTGAAATTAATACTTCTGCCCCCCGCTCCTCAGTAGGTATGGGGCCCCCACATGGTTGAGATGTCAGGGGGTAGTAAACACAGGACCTGTCAATTATTAAAGTCGATGACTGACAATATAATTTGGGTAGAAAAAAGTAAAATGTACAAAAAGCAAAAAAAATGTTGCTAAAACTAGCCCTTTTGGAGCTCCAACCTTGTCACTGGTGGTTCAACATAGTACGTACCACACCAGCCATGCAGATACACAATGAATATTATTAATTGATGACTGATAACGAAATGTCAGTTTAAAAACAACAGGGCCCTAAAAGTTTGGGTGCAAGATTCATCAGCCCTGCATGAAGGTGATGATGATGGGATGATAGATAAAAATTGTTGAGAACAAGAAAAATAACATGCTGATAAAAAAAACAAAAAAAAAACAGCATTTTTCTTTTATCTATTATCCAATTTATACTTTTTGATCTCCCTTTGTTCATCTAATTTTTTAAAGAAATTCTTGATCAATTAAGAGGTTATTCACCAACAAATCTTGGCTTCCTTTCTAATAACTGACAAACTTTTCAAGGTAAAGTAGAAATAAGCTCTTCACCATTATGTCATCAATATTTTTTTTTTTTTATTTATGCAATGATACAAAGTTCTTCATTAATGATTTCTCTTGATACTTTCCTTTGCTTGAATAATTAATGTTTTCCTTTCTGCATGTACTATTTACTACTTCATTAGACTGACACCATTTCTTAACATCGATTATATCCATGCCAAGGAGTTTGTTTTATGCATAATTAGCTGTTGATTTAATCTAACTTCCCTTTTTAATTCTCAATTAATTCTATCTAGCTTGCTTCCCTGTTGACCTTTTCAGATTGAAAAAACAAATAGATTTTCTCAACATTACCCTAAATTTCATGCTATTTATCCTTTGTGGAAGGAGGTCTTATGACCATATCACATTGAAACTGGTTTTCATCTGATCACTGAAGTTAAGCAACATTGAACCTGGTCAGTACCTCGATAAGTGACCGCTCAGGAATACCAAGTGCCGTAAGCTTGGATATGTGGGTGGATAACAGCTCAGAATGAGACATCAGAGAGCCAAGTTTGAATTCCATTTGGGTTCATTATATTCACATAAGTAAAAGGTAGGAATTCAACTCTTCTCCCAGCTATGGGTTAAATAATAAGACTTGTATCAGAAGATTATTTCTATCTCCAAAAAATATTCTTGCAATCCAAAAATATGAATTGGCATTGAATAAACTTAAAAAGGTTGGTAAGCTGTAAAAAAACAAAATCAATCTTTTTGTTTTACAAAGCACAATAGTAAAATATTGCTACATCTTCCAAGTCCCTCATCATTATGCGCCTAAGAAAATGTCAACTGTCTCTGTTGCTTTGTTGTTTTTATTCTCCTTCAAACTTCTTTGTCACATGCTTTGTCTTTTTAACACATTTTCTAGACACAAAACCTGTACAAGATAATCTTCTGATTATTGTTATTCTTGAAAGAGTTTTGTTTTTTCTGCTGGCAGTTTTTGTGGGCATTTTTTTCTTCTTGCCTTTGAGAACTGTAAATTTGTACAAGTCATTGTCTCTGTATGTTGAGGCTTTGGGGGCCTCCAGACTATTTTCCTGGTAACATTACCTGCTGTTCCAAAGCACTGGCCTACTCTCTTAATAGCTGATGAAGAAACAGGAATTTACTGCCTTAGGGTCTTCTAAGTTTCAGAATAGCTACAGATGGCCCAACAAAGGCCAAGTACATGGTTCTTAACATGAATTCCTACATATTTTGTTTTAAATTGTGACTCCCAACACTGCAGACAGTGGGTTTATCTCTGCCCTATATACAAAATTATGCAAAATATAGAACTTTTAAAGTTCATAAATAGAACCAGTATTGACTGGCTCTATTTATGAACTTTAAAAGTTCAATATATTGCCATATTGGGCTGGGCTAATTTTTTTTCCCTCCAGGAGGGTGCATGTGTGAAAATACACACACAAACTAATACCAGTGGATGCTTGTAGTGTAATGGATTGCAACTTGTGACAAATTTACATTCCAGCAATGTTTGTTACTCACCTGTGTGCAAATATCTTTGGGAAAGGCATGAATCCATCTCTCATCTCTGGGTTAAATAGGACAGAACACGTTCTGAAGCCTTGTTTGACAACCATTCTAGATATGGTGACTTGATATAATCCCCCCTCTCCCAGCAAGGCTGAGCACACAGAGATGCATTGACACAAAAACGCACAGTGACTGAAATTCCTCAGGCATAATAGTTGTGCATTCTGTCACAGCCAGAGAAATCGTTTCTTTTATTTTTTTTTTAAATTTAATACCACTGCTTATGAAATCTTTTTTTTAAAAACCTTTTCACTATTGTAAATAGAAAATGCTGTCATATTTATTCACTGATAAATTGCTGGCTGCAGGAAATTGATCCTCCAAGCAGTCTTTGGCAATTCTTGACCTGTAATACCAGGGCACACATTTGTCTTACACAGAACCATTACATTGTACTAAGGCCTTTGTGTTTCTGTCTGCATGTATATAGATTGTACTTCTTTTTATAATTATGATTAATAACATTATTATTATTAGTAGTAGTAGTAATCTGATTATTAATATTAAATTAATATTGAATACATTTTTTTATTTACCATTTATAAACTTTAATTTTAATTTTTAAATTTTAAAGTTCAAATTTAAACTTATTTTTAACCTTTATTATAGTTATTAATAATATTAATTTTTATACTCTTCTTTTTAAAATTTTTTTTTTTGTAATCTTTAATATATTGTCCTATATTAATTACAATTGTATTAATCAGGATTAATAATATTATTAATATATCTTATTTTATTTTATTCCTACCTTTCTGGTAATATTTAATAATTTATGTATTAACTATAAATTATATTGATGTGTTTTTCAAATGTCACCGTGATATGCCTACATATGATAACTCACTCTTCCTTCCCACTCTCCTGTTTAACTTTCTTTCTTCTTTCCTCCCTCCCCTGCTTTACAATTTGTCTTCTTTTATTTTTTTTTTTTTCTTCTTTACTATTCCTGTCTAAAAATTATTTAAGAGGTCAAAATGTCTGGCCTCTTAAGTGAGTACACTTGAACCTAAGTAAATTATTAAAGATGGCTTAGAAACAACCTTATCCCTACTTTCCATTTTCAAGATAGAGATATGGTGACAGGTAGTGGGAGGAGGAGGACTATAGAATGATCTTAGTCTAAAACTATCCATCAAAAACTTGTATTAAAAATAAAAGAAACCAAATTCCTTTCTAACTAAGACCTGATGAACCAGGAAAAATATATTTTCTGGGAAAATAAATTATAGTCATGGAACCTTGTCTCTTAATTATTTAATTAATATATATATATATATATATATATATATAGTGTGTGTGTGTGTGTGTGTATAAGGAATAAGAGGAAAACTTGTTTGCAACATGTTTTGATTCCTTGAAGAACTTCAAAGGATAATGTGGAAATTTATTGTGGAAAATCTATATTTATGTACACAGAACTATTTTTTTAAATGCTCTCAAATTTAAATTGGAACAATTATTTCTCAACGATAACTTTTTCTGTGTATATAAGTTACACGTATAAAAGTTTTTTCTTAACCAATTTCTACATCTGCCTTGATGAAATTCCTCAAGGAACCAAAAAATAATTTTTCCCTCTTGTCACCTTTGCTATTAACATCGTTTGTCCCTGTTGCTGCTTTGAATCCCATTTTTACTTTGGTCAATTTCTGGGGATGCAGGATTGGTGAAGAGCAGGCACGCCACATTGCATTTTAGTATCTGTAGGAATATCAGTGAAGAACTATCAAAGATTTGGCATGAATCAACTGCCCTATCTATGTTTGTTTATAGATTGAAGTCACCAGTAAACTTAATTTCAACAACTCATTAACAAGTGTAAAAAAAACTTATTTATGATTACAATCATGAATACATAAACAAAAGGGATTTGAAGAAGTTTCCAACATCAGGAATTCTTGAGTTGGTATAAGAAGTTGACTGGTGGGTGCAGTTAGGGCAAAACAGGCCAAAGTCATTCAACTATTTAAATGAAGGTAGGTGATCCAGGGAGTTCAAAAAGGGGCATAGAGAACAGGATTTTAGCTGATTGAGGGACCACAGTCATCCAGCAGAGGCGAGTGTTAGTCTTCTAGCAGCAAGACCAATTTGATCTTTTTTCTGCTCTTTCAGTACCTGATTTCATAGAGGTGCAAACCCCAATTGCACTGATCTGATTGGCTATCCAATAACTCTTGACCAATGGTCTTGTGTCATGCACATCAAAGGAGAGGAAAAAGTTCCCAGGAGCACAACATGACTGGTGGCCCCATCAAAAAATTGGCCTTGTGTTTTACATATCGGAGAGGGGAGATGAAAAGCCTCATCCAAGCCTTTCTCTCATTGGCAGTCCAATCAAAATTGTGGCCTTGTATCACACCTATCCACTTTCAGTGGAAATTTTTCCATGTTCCAGAATCATTTGACCTATCACAGGTGTTATCATCACCTCCATCCCAACATATCCCTGATCAAAACAAACCTGACCTTTTAAGATTTACTTTGTGTCATTAATTTCAACTAATAATCCCTTTATGAAATGAAAACAATATTCAATTTCAACAGATCTAAGATTGTACCTAATGACCAATCTAAGTTCACAATTTCACACTATACTCCAAAAGTGATATAAACCTGAAAATTCATTATATTCACTTTTTTAACATAAAAATATTTCTCCTTCTTTAGAAGTAAAAATTAAATCACCAGTCAGCCTTTGACAGCAGTCCTGGTGTCGTCATTCTTGGCATATATATTCAGTTATATCCTAATTTTTACATGATATTTTGAATGGATTTTTTATCAGACATTTCTTTTTATTACTACAAACGTTATATTGAGGTTGCAGACATAATTGTAGACCTACTGCAATCTGAGAAAAAGATTTTCATGAGCCAGTGTGAAATTATTTCAAACCAATGAAAACCGTGTATTCAAAAAGTTAACACCTCTACATGAAATTAAATTTTTGAATCCTTACGGATATAAAAATAGAAGCATACTACTTCTCAGGGCTCACAACAATTTTGGAGGCTAGTTTGATCTACACATGCATACACAAACACACAATGAAAGAGAGAAAGCCAGCAGCAACTAAGTCCTTGTCCATGCACATAACAGAAAGAATTAACCAGCAACAAAGAGTTAAGTGCAGTATCATTTGATACAGGAAACTCAAATTTAAAAGTATGATTTTGTTAAGAATAATTATGCATGAAAAGTCTGTATAATGATTTATGCAAGAAATGGTTATATAATGATAAATACACAACACTGGATGAATCATAGAATTATTGATTTGTAAAAATATCAATCCTATATAAGAATTATTTTCTTGAACAAAAAAATAATTTACTGTAACTACAAGACTTTATCTACTTACTACATCTGAGTTTTGCAAAGAAAGCTAAAGTGGGTAATTGAATGACAATGAAAAAAATTAAATGCAAGACATTTTGTCCTTTAAAATGACTTCTGGCTAAAATAACGTTCTTATTGATGGAATTATGTGTGTGTGTGTGTATATGTGTGTGCGCATGTAGTGGGGGCTGCAAAATATAAACAAAATGTTGTCTATAATTATGCAACGAGAGGAACACTGAAGATTTAGGGATGCTAAACTTTAAATTCAAGTTTTCAATTTTTGGTGTACAATATGTCTTGGGGTACAGGTTAACCAACCTTGTTCAGCTTCCCAACACTTCTGTTGATGTTGCTTTTTAAGTATATATATATTAGGCTTCTTCAGTTTCCATCGTTTCTTTCTTAGTTTACATATAACAGAGAAGTGGTCATTTCCACAATCAGCACTTGGATGGGTTTTGCAATGAACAACTACATTCCTGAATTTTTTGTTGATAGTTATGTAATCAATTTGTTTTTTAGATTCTCCTTCTGGGCTTCTCCATGACCATAATCATCTGGGATGTTCTT